GTTAAACATTGAGCCAATGGTGTACTGTATTTGCAATACCTGAATTACTGCCATTTTCTTACATTTATTTGTGCAAACCTGCTTAAAATTAGTTCAAACATAAGAAGTCATTGAATTAAATTGTGATTCTATTAAATCAGTATTAAAATTTAGTTAGTTCAAACATAAGAATTATTGAATTAAATTGTTATTTAATTGAAGCCACAATAAATCTTAATGAAAAACTATCATTGGCATAAATTAAAGTTATGGTTTCTAATGAATGGCTACATTAAATGCAATCAAAGCTCTAATTCTTTTAAATATGTATATTCTTGTGCAAATATTAGTTGTATAATACATTTATATGAACTTTAAATAAAATGAATTCTGGAAACTGCTTCTGGTAGTCTTGTGTACACAGGTTTCTATCCATAAAATGAAATTGTTCTGTTTTCTGTAGGATCTATTGGGAACCCACTAGAAGTGGTGATATTGGGCTCTAAGAAAGTTGCTGACCCATCACTAGCAACAGTTACTGTACTGGATGTGCAGGATCTGTCTGTCATGGCACATTGTTATTCTAAAACGAAATAGGAATTATATTGTATGTATTTATAATGTAATATACTTTCAGGACGCCCTGCAAGGATATCATGATGGTACTGAAAGACTATGAGAAGTTTTTTTATAAATAAAGAAAAACTCACTCCATTCAAGCAAAATAACCAATTTAAGACATGACACCAAATATCAAGATAAACTGTGTCCATGGTATATACCTATATGAGTACACATTTACCTTTTTGTTATCATTTAGATATAATTGAGTAATTAAATTACATGGCGGACATACAGTTAAAAAACATGTACAACTTACCTTAAAAATTCGGGATTAGGGAGTACAACCCCCAATAAATTAGCAAATATAACAAACAACCAAACACTACCTACACCAGCGATAACCCCTACACTTAACATCAATCGGCGTCACCAGAAATACTAATTAATCGGTTGATCACATTTAACTATACGCACTTACGCGATTGCAGGTTGCCGATATGTGGTGTGGCAGGGGCTGCCCTGGCGCGTTTGTCTGAATTTTAGCAATCATTTAATTAAATATAGGCCGCATTGAAAAAACGGGAATGATAATTAGGAAAATTACAAGTATTTTTCAAGACAGTGAAAATATTGGTATTCACTGTAAGACAGTGATAACTTACTTTACCTTAGTTTCCATTGGAATAAAAATCATAAACATTAAAAGAAACAAAGACTATTCTTATTTCATTTGTTTTTAATTTTTGGTTGAAGCATTATAACTTTTAATATAAATCGATTTTATATTTAATTAAATATTGTTAATTTTACCTTGATCAGATATACTTTAAATACAAAAATATAAAGAGCCATTCACACTATAACAAGTAATTTTAACTTCATAATATTTTGTTATGGACTGAATATAATATTTGTAAAAACATCCCTTTCCCTCAATTTCTCCAAACATATTTTATTTAATAAACTTTAACTTTTATTGGAGAAATGAAATCAATCAATTATAGCATTATTATTGACTATATCAAAACGTTTTTTCTATGTAAACCTATAGCTCTTAAGTAGGTTAATACTCTAAACCAATTTCTGATCTTTGCCTAACATAAACATAATAAACTATCGAACAAAAGTAATAGCCTTCTGCAAGCCACAACAGTTAAAATTGCTCTTAACATTTGTCTTTTAATTAATTTAATAAAAATGAATGCAACATTCTTATTGTTAGAAAAGAATCAAAAAACGTAAATACAATTTCTACCACAAAACGTAGACAACAAAACGCTCGGGCAATACATTAACTAGAATTTTTCAACAATTTTTGCATTACTTCGGTAATAAACATTAACAACTAAACATTGCCGACCATTGAAAACTATATATCGATAGTTTTCGACCTCTAGACTGAAGAAATGGTTTCGCACATTGGTGCAAACAATGCGTTCAGCATTTTCGATTTCAGAAAACTATCAGTGTACAAACCAACCAAACCCCATTCATGAACCCCAATTGAATGGGGGTATTACTAAATCCCTGGTTGAGGGGGGTTTTGATTGTACTTAGTTTTGGGGCAGTTTAATGTCCCCCAAAAACCAAAATGTCCTTGTCCCACAGATATATCAAAAATTTTGAATTGTTTTAGGATAATAAGAGAAGAAAGGAAATAAAGAAAATAAAATAAAAAAAGAAAGAAGATTTCCATGAAGAAGCAAAAAAGAAGAATAGAAGGGAGCATAATAACATGATATATTTTTACAAATCTTCCTCCAGAACCGAGAAGAAAAACAGAACGAAGATGAAAAAAAAGGGAAGAAGACAGAGAAAAAGCAACGAAGAAAAACTCATTATACTTTTACACTTTTACATTTCTAGAATTAGAAAACAAAAAAGAGAAATATAAAAAAAGGAAAAAGTAAAAAAGAATAAAGAATACATTTCTCTCTCCTGAACTCTTAAAGAAATATACATAGTCATTTGTTCTGGATAAATGGTGTTGCAAGAATACCAACTTGCCTTGCCTAACTAACCTTTGAATGGCGATTTATTAAAGAAATGAAAATTTATAAAAAAATCGCGTCGCAATTTATTTAAACGAGGTTAGTTCTGCCGGTGGCAACAAAACAGTTTTGACACAATGGAACGTTTTGGCGTTTCGGGATTTCAACGACGTTTCCCACTTCTTTGTGTGGATGTAGGTGTGTGTGTGTGTGTGCAAAGTTCAAACACATTCAATATAAAATAAATTTTATTTTCGCACCGATCCACAGTGGGCTAGAGAGCCAATTTAACGCGAAGAAATTATTTGGTTAAGTAATTCTTAATTAATGTTAATTTTTTTGGTCTTATTGATAAAGTTTTAATAAAAATTACTTTTACTATCAATAGAAAAACAAATCGACAATATAATACTTTAACAAAATTATATTTGTGTGATGGCAAAATTAAGATCTATAGTTTTAATGAGTAAATTACAAAAATATAACTGAACTATATAAAAATAAAACCTAATTGTTACGTATGACAGTATTTTATACAATAATATTACTTCTGGGCTTTCAGCGTTTTTCTATATTTTTTGAAAAAAATTAAATTTTTGAATTAAGTTTTTTCCGAGATCCATTTACTTTTGTAAATGCATAATCATATAAGTAATTTAAAATCAAATTTCTATTAAAATGCTTCAAACAAAAAATATTTGTGGCGCCTACTAGCACTTGATTTTAGATTTATTTAAAAGAATTTAAAAGCTATTAAAAACACTCAACAGAGAGTGTGAGAATGCGTGACATTTTTTAAAACCTTAGTATTGTTCAGTATACATAAAAAATATGCAGCGCTTTCTTTATTGAGGTAGGGACAGTACAATAATTATAAAAACTTACCATTATTTGTTTCAGCCATAACGTATGACAGTATTGAATACAATGATGGTCAAAAATTAAAAATAAATTAGGAATTAACATTGTAAGAGAAGCAAAACCTTCACGCGCAATTTACCAACACAAAGCAAGTAATTATAATTCTTAAATTTTGACTGGTTACCTGATAAAAATTCAACAGATTTGAAGGTGATATAACAATATTTGATTTGCTACAGATATTAAAGAATTCAAAATTCACTAAATTTTGTCGAAATAAAACACTTACTCATTTTAAATTTTCGCGCGCTGGAAGCGCTCTCTAGCCTACCGCGGTGGTGGCAAAAAGTATTAATATTCACTAATAGTTATCAGTAATTAATTAAAAATTATTAATTGTTATTAGTAGCTTTTTAATTGATGGTTTCCATCACCAATGTATGACAATATTTAATACAATGATATTTCTTCTGGGCTTCCAGCGTTTTTCTATTAAAAAAAAATTGAATAATTTTGTTTTTTCGAGATACATCTATTTTTGAAAATGGGTAGTCTACTAAGTAATTTAAAACTAATTTTATATTGAAATGCTTCAAACTAAAACACTTTTCACAAAACTCCGTATAAGTTAGGGATAATGTATTAACTGAAAAAAAATAAACAAACCATATTTGTTGCGCCTACTAGCACTTGATTTAAGATTTATTTGAAAGACAGAACGGTAAGCTATTAAAAAAACCTAAACACAAAGTGTGACAGTGAGTGACATTTTTTAAAACCTTAATAATGTCCATACATACATGTATGCATTAAAAGTATGCAGCGGTTACTTTATTAAGGTAGTGACAGTACAATAATAATAAAAACTAACCATTATTCGTTCCAGCCATAACGTATGACAATATTTAATACAATTATAGTCAAAAAGTAAGAATAAATTAATAATAAACATTGTAAGAGAAGCAATACCTTTACGCGCAATTTATCAACAGGAAGCAAGTAATTATAATTCCTAAACTTTGAATGGTTACCTGATAAAAATTTAACAGATTTGAAGGTAATTTAAAGATGTTTCATTATCTACAGATATTAAAGAATTCAAAATACTCTTAATTTGGTCGAAATAAAACACTTACTTATTTTGAATTTCTTCGCGCTAGAAGCGCGCTCTAGCCTACTGTGCGATCGAGAGAAACTTTTACCGCACTTCATAAGCGTAAATAAACCGTTTAGCCGAATTGAATCGAAATTTTCAAGAAACTATTATACAAGAATAACACCTAACGAGATTTTTTCCACTGCTAGGCTTTTGAGTTTTATAAACACATAATCTTGCATTTTTGAAAAATTACTCTCTTCTAGTCAATCGCTGGTTATGTTAAAACAAATTTCCTATGTTTGCGCTGTTTTATTTTTATTATAGCTAGCCTTCCTATTTCTTTTGTAAAGATATGCGCAATTTTCTAGTACATTTAATAGAGGAAGACTACCGTCTTCTGGGCAATACTGGAAGTAGCGAGGAAGTAAGGACAGGAAGTACTCACTATCAAGCTTCCCTGACTGAGCTATAGGCACCCAGGAATGCATCAAAGGATTCAAACTTACCAGGAGGGCATGCTAGTTGTACAGCACCACCCAATGAAACTTCTAATTGTCTACCAGTTGAACTAAGTTCGCCTATATCAAAATCTGGTTCTTGGGTAACTTCCATTTCATCTGAAACAATAAAAACCATTCAACAGGGAAAAGAAAAATTTACCTTATAAACATGTTTTGCAATCCTAACAGGAACAATACGAAGTGTAGCGTTTCTGAATATTTTGTATTCTTAAACTAGATAAATGGGTCGTTTTCAAAAAACACCCGCCTTCCGCTGTCCGTAAGTTTAAATTCCAATAACTTTGTTAAAAATTATCGGATCTTATTGATTTAAAAACCAAGTGAAAGACTAACAAGCCCTTAGTAAACTCTTTCAGAAAATTTTTGTTTAGTTATTTCAGAATAATTTTTTTTTAATTTTGAAACTTTTGAAACACATATTTTCGCATGTCCCATTAGCGTTTTATAAAACTTACATACATGTTTTTTTTAAATATTGAATAACCAGAACTTTGTGTTGCTTTATAGCAATCCATAACATCCTTAGTCAATACAGTAAACAATTTATATATAAAATAATTAATTTTAATCTACTTTTTTAAAATTTAACTCATGTCCCAGACATTTTTTCCGTTGCGTTACGTCCGTCGCGTTACCCATAGAATATTAAAAAAAACATATATATGGCAACTTTTTGGTACTCACGTGATCAACAAATGATGTTCGGACGTACACATTACCCAGCTGAATTTATTTATTCAATCAGGAAGAAGATATCGGTTGAAACAGGTGCGGGTAACGCGAATGTAATAATTGTTTGTCCGCTAAGTTACTCAAAAAAATAATAAAAATAATGTAAGAAAAAATACTATTCTTCATGTTTATGTTTATTTTAGGGCACTAAAGCTCATTGAGAGTAATTAATGACTGTAATGTCTTATTATTATTTTTTAAATATGGTTTCACAAAACTTTGTCCACTGCGTTACCGAGTTCACTATGTTACCTTATGGTAACGCAATGGAATTTAGGGTAACGCAATAGAATTTGTCGACAACACCGTCGCTTTTATTAAAAGTAGTTTATGATTAACCAATTTAAAATTATTTGTGATTACAACTCATGATATAGATTACATCCAAGGGAAAATTCCACGCAATATACAAGTACTAAAAGGGACCTTCACCAGCTTATAGTCAAAGAAAAAGGGTATCTACAATTTAGAAATCTAAGTTGTTATTCTGCAAGTGAGCACCACTACAAGGGATTTTGTTTATGCATTACTCTAAAATCGTACCACCCTATATAGTTTCTTTTTTACGTTATCTGATTAAGTCCTTTTGTGTACCCCTGTCCTTTGTGATACCAATGTCTATTTCGTAACTTTTTTAGTTTATGTTAAAAAAAATACTTAAAATGATTTTTATACACTATCACTTGGTAATACGTCTTTATAAATTAGAATTTAATTCACTAATACAATGACTAAAAGAAAATATTAATGGTATTGTTTTTTTAACAAAGAATCGGAATGGTTTCTTTTAAAAAGTAACTTAACGAAGATACATATTTAAAAAAAAAGCATACAATTTTTAATAAAAAATAAAATAAAAAATTGGAGTCAAAAGTTTGTGAACTAAGTACATTTTATTTCAAATTATTTTTATAAAAACTTTTTTTATTGAATTAAATTTTGGATTTCAAATTGGTAAAACAGTGGAGACATATAAAGCTAGATAAACACATATTTCTGAAAAAAACGCAAAAAAAAATTAAAAAGTGCACTGCCTGTCTTAAATGTAAGTAAAAAAAACTCTAAACATTTATAAAAATCCAACCAAAAATATTTTGATCTTCATTTTCCTGAAAGCGGGTGTTTCTTGAAAATGACCCAAATATACCTTGTGTATTTTGATTACTTAATGTAAATACCAATAAATTGTTTACGTGTTAACAAATTGCCTTACATCAATTCTTTTACGACATGAATTAGTTAAAAAGCGTTTAAATATGAGTTAACATAATATACAGGCATACTTTACGAGCTCATATTTTATTTAAAGCTCTATAGTAATATATTATTAAGTTTCATAAATATTATCGATTTATTACCAAACACGACATAAATATAAAATTTATACTGCCATTAAGAGTTTGTTGCCACAACTGATAAAAGTATGTTGATTTTTTGCCTTCCATTTGCATTTATTCTCACTATCTTATCCTTGCTGCAAACTTAATTAATTCCTCTTTTTTAGTAGTGTACCTTTAAAGTGCTTTAAAGAATTTGCATATAAACTCCTCACATGCATTTATTTATCAGACGGGGTTTTAATTTTATTAGCTCCTTTTTGATCCTGTTAGTTAATTAGAATGTCAAGTAGCTGACCTTTTTTAAATTAATTAAACTTTTTTAAATATTTTAATTTATTAGAGGACCAATCTGTTTTCTTGACATTTGTTTAATTAATTTTTAGCCTGAGCGGCTTAGAAGTTTAGTTCAATTAAATGTATATCCCGCATGGTCTAGTGTCTAAAATGTTGTTTTATTTTAAATAAATCCATATTTCATTGCTTCCACACTCTACATTTTGTTTAAATTGAGAATATGAACTTTGATGTGTGCTCTCTTCATCCTTGCGTCAAAAGATCCTAAACTCTCTGTGACCGTCTTAAACTTGGTAAGGCGACCATTTTGACAAACATTCGAAAACTAAAATATTCGCTATTACTTATTTACTACAGTTACACACGACTTCGTTTTAAACTAAAGGATAATGATTTGCAACAGCGCCGGGTTATAAAACGAATACGTTGTTAATTAAGTGTTGCCTGGCTCATCCACGAAACTTCACCAACTAATCTAGCCGTCGCTGGCCTCTATTTATTAGACGCTATAATCGTTAGTCACACCTTTATTTCGCTCGTTAATTTCTTTTTTTTTTCGGACGGGTCTTTGAAATTAAACTGTTGAAACACATGACCATAAATTTTAACGAACAATAGTTGCGCTGGTTTATTTGATTGTATCGGAATTAAATCAAATGGGTTTTGAGGCATTTTATGCATTTTCTGTGTTACAAAATCTAACCAACATTCTACTGATAAAATCAGTATTTTCTTATTCGGTCTCCCGCGCACTTTATTTCATAGTGTTTTAAGGGAAGTAATATTTTCACTTTAACCCACTTGTCGAATAATGATGACATCTAATTAGATTAACCTGAATACAACACTACCCATAATAGAGGCGCGTGATGTCGAAATTTGGTTTGAAATCTGAAATGCCTTTTAATGTATTGCCATCGAGACAAACTGCTCTTGAGAAGCTAGCACGCGGGAGTATAATAAAGCAGATTAAAGTATTAGCTGTAAAAAGTACTTACAGCACAATCAAATAGTCTTAGGGCACTTTCCTCCAAATTTTGTTCCATAAAACATATTTTTAAGAACCCTTAAAATGACTTCCTTTTATAAAGCAAAGTTAAAACTTACAAGTCTCTTCTTGTGTCTAATAAAGCTTTTTAATAAAGTAATATGGTTCTAAGAACAATTCACATTTGTGATAACTCCCATAAACCCAAAGTAAAAGTATGATAAAGCTTTGATATCATATTTAGGTAGCCATGTGTTATTAAGTCTTAGGACATTAGGTTGTTCAAAAATTCTAAATCAAAAGCCTTTTTCTAATGTAGGTAAGTTTTTCTTATGGGTACTAAACTAACGATGTCTCGAAGACAGAACTTTAAACAATGAAAACAACTGCGTTTTTTCACTTTTGGTTTAGACTTTCTTAAAAACCTGATGTGAAAAATTCTGAAGTTGAGAATTTCTCCATTTTTACTTACATCTAACATTCAAAAAGTATCCTATGCTGCTAAACCGGCCCAAACGGTGCCTGGAGATGCATTTGTACCACCCGCTGTGTTCTCTTCTGATCTCGGTGAAGTTGAGAAACCCATCAGGAGTTTGCTGTACTGGCGGGCTTGTATCATCCTTTTGCCATACAGGCAGTGCTTTCGGATTGGCGTCAACATCGCATTTTAGGGATACGGGCATTCCCTCTCTGATTGGAAAGCCGAAACCTGGCTCGCGCGAAATCGCAAATGAGGGCGTATCTGTAACAAAGAGGATTCTTTAAAGTATGGATTTATATATAAACATAACAATAATAATAATAATATTAAAAGAACCGTATGTCTGACGACGTTCGGTACAATCTCATGTCCCATCTATTAAGAACCAAAAACCGACAAGCAGATCCCGGAAAACCATCAATACATATAACGCCCGTGGAAACCTAAAGCAGAACATAGTAATAATAACACTATGATAGTATTACAAACTTTTTTTTCCTAACATTAAGTACTCCAGCTTAGTTTAACTAATTTTGGGCCGCTGATTTCAAAAATGTAATTAGTTTTTCTCTAGGACGTCTACGATTTAAAATAATTTCGTAATAAAGTCCTCTGCTCAATCACCTCAAAAATTAAGTTTTTTGTTGGTATTTTAATTATTTATTAAATTATTTTGTCTTAAATTTATCTTGAATGTACTAAAAGTATTTGGTATACGGCAAATAGATCATATTTATCTTAACAATACTAAAATTTTAATGTATTTTATGTAAAAAAACACCATTATTTAACATTTTTTGTAGTTTATTTTAATTATTAAATTGAAAGGGCAACAAAGTAAACAAGTTTCAGTATTTTTTATCCAAATTAAGCCCTCAAAATTTAATGCATTGCATAACTTTGCTTTTTTCTACCTTAAATTTATTAAATCGTATCAAATATCAAATTGGATTATAGTAATATTGTGCTTATTCGTCATCAACGTCGTACATCTTTTGCTGCAAATTCCAGCAAATGTCTCCTAGCAATGAATAGATTTGTACCAATGGTCTAGATTTGCAATTACTTGGTGAAATCGTTCTCCATGTTCATCAGTTCGGCAAATTTATCAGGAAGGAAAAAAAAGAAAATGTATTTTAAATTGGCGCCAATTTTAGGCCCGATATGAACCAAGAACATTTTCAATGACAGCTTTAACACTGCCTAACACAAGCTCGTCAACTTTGAGAGCATTTTTGAATGCTTGATCTTTCATTAAACGTCGTATTTCAGGTCCATTTAATATTCCTGAAAAATTAAAGTTGTAGGTACATCTCATAAAATTTTGTAATGAAATATTGCGTTGGTTTTTCTTGGGCGTAAAGGTACCGCAACAAAAACAAAACAAATTTACAACGAAGACATAAATGTTCGTCTACTTTCTCTTTCTCTGCTACTTCCATTACCACTTCCATTTCCTGCTCTTTTTTCATTTTTGGTTCTTAAAATCACTTTCAAGTAAAAATACAATTTAAAGTTTAAAAGTAGATAAAGGCGCCTTTATACTTTCGATTCGATATTAAATTTTGATAAGACTGAATAAGATTCGATATTAAATTTTTGGGTACTTTAGGCATGATGTGAATAAAAACATATCAAATAATAGGCGAAGAGTAATGCTTATACCGAAACCCATTTACTGTGTTGCCTTTTCAATTTAATTAGTAATTAAAAAAACGACACAAAAATTTCAAAAAATGATACTTTTTACCAAAAAAACATTATAATTTTAGTTTTGGTATTTAATAAAGCACTTCTCTGCAGAAATGTGCTTTATTAAATATCCCTTACATAATACTACTATAGTATACGTATATACAGTATACAATGGAACAAACAAAATTTCTATTTGACATTTATCTACCGATGACTTTGTATGGAGTCCCTGTATATTTTTGACAATAAACGTCAAAAATATACCGAAAATCCAAAATAGATTTAAGGCAAAATAATTTAATAAATAATCAAAATATTAACAAAAAACTTACATTTTGAGATAATTGGGCAGAGCATTTTATTACGCAATTATTTCGAATCCTAGACGTCCTGGAGCAAAACGAGTGGCATTTTTAAAATGATCAGCCCAAAATTAGGTAATATAGGTGGGAGTACTCAATGTTAGCAAATCGAACTATATATATTTATACATTTATGCATAGGGTTGGGAAAATTTCACTTTTTGCTTGTTCTTGAAATTGCACTTAAAATTTTCATGACATTTATGAAATTTATTAAAATTTCCTAAATTTCTGAAATTTCATGAAATCTATGAAATTTATTGAAACTTTCAATAAATTTTAATCACTTTAAGTGTAATATATTAATATTGAAATAAGCCCACTCGGGGACCATGGCAAATTGCCTCTCTTACCTCCTACCCCTCTGTGGGCCCCTGCACCAATAATATAAATAGTAAATACATATGTTTACCACAAATTTCTTGAGATTTCCTTTTAAAATATTTTTAAAATTATTAAAACTAAAAGATATAGCACTTTTTGGTAAGCTAATGAGATTGTGCCACTTTCATAGTTTTATATTTATATATTTATTATTTTTATATATTTTACTGAAATTTTACGAAAATTGAAGAAACTTCATCAAAATTTTATGAGCCAAAGGCATTTTATATCCGTTTTCCGATGCAATTATAGCAAAAGTAAAAGTTTAAATTAATCATGACTTTTAAAAAAAATTTAATTTCTAATTTAATTTACAAATTAAATTATTTAAATTAATTTATGCATATAAGTAACAATAATTACTTATAGTGTATTCAAATCCAAGCCGAACTAAACAAAAACGCCCAGACGCCTGATAACTCGTTCTTATTGGTCGATTCGGAATCTGTTGTAAATTATTATTAAAGGTCCCAGGGGAGGCCGCATGTGAAATTTATGCGAAATTTTCAGTAAATGACATTTCTTTAAGTTTCACAGGCAATGTTGAAATTTTCGGATTGAAAATTTCATTTGAAACTAAATGAAATATTTCAAGTTTGAAAGTTTCAAAGTTAAAATTTTCATTTGGAAATTTTAACTGTCCCAACCCTATTTGTGCAAAGAGAAAATACAATATAACAATATATGGTACAATACACAATGCAGTGGCATGCATTATGTACCTAATCGAAAGTTCTTTTTAGGTGGAGAGAATCAATACTCTCAATCTGTAGTGTGTGTTCAAGAAGCCAGCAAACATGGCTGCATACTACATAATTAGCACGATGCTGAAGCGATAAGTCAATAGAGCAAGTCTCGAGCAGATGCACCCCAAGTTTGTTGTGTCGGTGTTTGCGAAAGGACCGTCGACGGTCTCTGTTTGCGTTTCAGTTGGTCAAGATCTATTGACCGAAACTATTAATCTTGCCTGGATATGCGGCCGGTCCAGGTCTTCGACTAAAAGTTCCCAATAACAAGGGAATGCGTTCAAAGATCAAGGGTCAATATTAGAAGACAAATTACCTACAAACCAAACCATAACTTATCGAGTGTCTTGTGTGTTTGTAATATAATTTGAGCTCAAGTCGAGTAGTTTGCTGAACTTGCCTAAACCGATATAAAATAAAACTACCTCCATCTTATATCGACAGTTTATTTAATTAATTAATTAATTAATTAATTATTATTTGATCCTATCGTGCAAAAGGAAGTTAAGAAAAAGTTTTGAACTTACTAAACAATAATGTTTTAATCAATAGCTTTGTTCTTGGATTAATTTTGAAAAAGTTTGGAACCATTTCAAAACTACCCAAAGGTTTGTTTTAAATATAGTATAACTTTGAGTTAGAATATCAATCTCACAATATTGGATAATTTGTTCTGGAGTAAGGCATCATACCACCTAAGATAACCAATGAAATGATTTCCCTCTTGAAATAAGACGCCGGCCGGTCGCTCAACTGCAATCTGCATAATCAGTTTGCAGTTTTAGTTAGTGTTAGGAAGTGTATCATTGTGAGTAGTACCACATTTCTGGTGAGTAATTATTGAATATTATTTTTCCGAATAGGTAGGTAGGTATTTGCAAAATTGTTCAGGGACTGTGATAAATCAACAATTATGACCTGGTGATCAAATGAGGGTAAAAAGTGTTTCTATGTTCCTACTGTGCTACATGATTGATTACCTTACTATTTACTTTGGTTTGTAATTTATGTTTACTTTATGTTTTTAGTTTATATTAACATAGTTCTATCCTTACAAGATTTTTGTGTTGGTCGCTGAATACATATTTAATCTTTCGACATTTGTACTATTATAAGTGGAGACGCACTTCATGTTGAATTATATCTTAGAATTAGCTATACGAGTTTTATTTATCAGTTTGTAGTTTATGTTTATGTTTAGTTTAGGTATTCTATTTTCCATATTTTCTGTATAAGGGTGATTCTACAAAAGTTGGGCAACTTTTGACCTCATTTTGTTTATATAGTTTCGGAGAAAATTAAACAGTATTTTGTTATGAGAACATAGATAATATAATAAATATTCTGTTCCAGACCGGGCCAGTCACTTTTTCAAACAGTTTCTGAAATATCTGTGTTTTCTAAATTTGAATGCAAGGGAAGTGACGAGTATACCAGGGTACTAATTAAATACATAATTTATTGGAAAATAAAAGACAACTTAAACATATTATACATTAAATATCTTAAAATCTTAAAATATCTTAAAATCAAATGCTGGTGGATTTTGGGTATACCGATATCTCAATTATTAGATATGGGACCCACACCAAATTTATATGAGTTTATAATGACATTAAATAAACAAGTTCTGCGCAAGCAGAATTTGAATTGAAGTTTGCGAAAAAAAGATAACCAAAACATCGAACATGAAACTGACGACACGGTACTGATGAATGGGATACAAATTTGAGATTATAATTCGGAATTAAGTATTTTACTGATATTTTTTATTAGTGGATGCTACTTATCAACAAATCATATATAGCCTTATATAAAATACAATGAAATATATATACGTAAGAAAATAACTACTCACCACAGTACTGAAATTTTGACTGGAACTATACGTGCATTTACCACAACTTCGCCGCTTGCATTGTTTTCAAGATGACTGTCGTGCAAAGGGAGGGCTCTGTAGGTAATTTTTTTACCAACACTTGAGTTAAAACGAGGACTTGACGTTTAAATATTTC